CTGCCAGAAAATCCTTCCAAGGTGGTTTGTAGCCAGGGAGGGGCCGGGGTGAGAGTCCAGGATTTGGGGTGAAGGATGGATGCAGGAATCATCATCATCCTCAGAGCCGTGGAGTCAGCTTGGCCGGGGGGACACGGGGTGCCCGGGGGGACACGGGGTGGCCGGGGTAGTGTCTGTAGGGTTGGAGTGACCCTCTGAGCCACCTCACCCGGCACAGTTGTGAGGTTTGGGTTCATTTTAAGCCTTTTGGCTTCTCCGGTGAAATTCAGGCGGTGATGGATCAGCTGGGCCGTGTCCCCTCTGTCCCCAGGGGTACCATTTGTGCTCCCCAGTCCCTCAGGCTGTCACATCCCTGCTCACCTTCTCTCTCCTTTGTTTCCCCAGGTTTACAGACAAACCGACCCCACCACGGGGGGACCCTGGCGTCCTGCACCCCCCAGTGTCACACGGAGCAGGCCACCCTCCTGGGGAGTGTTCGGGGACCGAGGGCAGCCACGCACGGGCAGAACCGGGGGGATCAGGTACTGGGGAGTTGTGAATTCCCCCCATAGGGGCGGGGAAGGGGCGCCGGTCGTGCTTCAGTTTCCCCAGTCGGGAGGGGCAGGGTGCAGTCCCGACTGCGGCCACGAGAGGGTAGCACGTTCCCGCGGCCCCCGCTGTGCCACCCTCCTCAGATGTGTCATCCCCAGATGTGTCACCCCCCCCAGGCGTGTCCCCCCCCTGGCGTGTGTCCCCCCAGCTGTGCCACCTCCCCAGCTGTGCCACCCCCCCCAGGTATGCCACCCCACCAGGTGTGTCACCCCCGCGATGTGTCACCCCCAAGATGTGTCACCCCCAGGTGTGCCACCCCCCACATGTGCCACCGCCCCAGATCTGTCCCTCCAGATGTGCCACCCCCCAGGTGTGTCACCTTACCCCCGACGTGTCACCCCCCAGATGTGGGACCCCCCCACACATGTGTCACCCCTCCAGCCGTGTCACCCTCAGATATGTCCCCCCAGGTGTGACACCCCCAGATGTGGGACTCCCCAAATGCGCAGCCCCTCAGCGGTGCAGCCACCATGCCCGGCTGGGGATCCCCAGTGTGTGACACTTCCCCAGATGTGTCATCCATCCCCCGAGGTGTGCAGCCCCCCACACGTGCGATCCCTCCAGATGTGGCACCCCCAGATGCGCAGGGTCCCGGCTCTTGCCTGGCGCTGGGGACATTTGGGTGACACTCTTGGGTGGCGCAAGGAGCCACCTGCAGTCCCCGTGGGAGATTTGGGGTTACATCCCCACAAAAAACAAACCCTCCCCAATTTATTGCTGTGACCCCCCCCCGGCAGGAGC